CTGCCTCAGCAGGAACAGAGTAAGTGGAACATGCAGAAAGGGGAATACAGGCAGCAGGCAAATATTTGGTCAGCACATAAGCAAATGGTCAGTACACAGAAGATCAGATACTGCTGACAGGAAGAGGTCAACAAACAGGTAAAGGGTCGCTACAAGCGGCAGGCAGAAACATGGTCAGAAAACAGGCAAGGGTGCACAGAAGATCAGGTACAATCTATGGCAGGTATGGCAGGCACGTATGAAAACCTATAACAAGCATGGGTGGCAAAGTGAGTGAGGTTTAAATGAGGCACCTTGGGAAGGAAAAAACAATCAAGGCTGAAGGGAGGAATAGGGTCAGGGCATTGCCTGGTAACACAATACTGCCCGAATGCAGGAGCCCGTGACCAGTGGGGAGACAGGAAGAGGAACTTGAGGTGAGACCCAGTGCCAGAGCGCCGGAATAGAACGGGAGAAGAGCTGGTAATGTAGGCAGGCCAGCAAAGGTTGCAGGAGTTGGTAATGGTTGCAGGCAGGCAGAGGTTGCAGGAGCTTGTAATGCTGGCAGTTGCAGGCCAGGAAAGTTGGCAGGAGTTGGTATTTAGGCAGGCTGGCAGTGGCCACAGAAGCTGGTAATGGTGGTAGTAGCTGGAAATGGCAGCAGCAGTAGATCGGATCTGGTAATGATGGTAGTAGCTGGTAATGGTGGCAGCAGTAGACAGGAGCTGGCAGTCCAGCAGATGTGGCAAAACCTGGTAATGGTGGCAATGCAGGAATACATAAAACCCCGAAATAAATAAAACCCTAATAATATAGTACTTTTTAAACATAAAACATTTTTTTTAAAAGAGAAGCCTTGCAGCAAAAAAAAATGCTATTGAGGGATAATCAAGTGACCACTTACCTCAAATCAACTAAAATAAAGCATTTTAAAAAGCCAATAAAAAAAGTGAGGAAGGGGTTAACTTCCCAAAGACCTAGCAGTCAGAATAAACTTCCAGTTTTCTTCCAAACTGACCTTGAATATCTCCCTATGCAGTTTAAAAAGCTTTCACTATCCTTTCCTACTACAGTTTCCAGTACACTTAAACTAGTTCCACAAAGTGAAAATTCACTTTGCGAAGAACAACCAATCAAGTACAAGGAAAATATAATAAAAAAACAGTAGAGTATTTTTGATTGAGTGATGGAAGTCAGCAAAACTTCAGATAATTCATATCATCATTCATGTAAGCCTATTTGTCTTTAATGAATCAACCCCCATCCTTCATCAAGTATGCATGAGCTCATTATGTTTATTTGATCATAACAACTGGAATTAAAATATAAAACAGTTTAATGACTGATTCTTGGATTTATTTAAGATCATTGATAAATATGTTCATTGCGGTGTTTCTCAATTATTTTTTGCTGAGCCTGACAAGCAGGAAATACAAGCTCTAATTTGTGGAATTCACATTTACTGGAATGCATATTTGTGTACCAGACCAAATAGTAAGTAACTGAGATTAACTGAAATAAAGGAATATAAAGCTGGCAACCAAATATAATGTGCAGATTGGGACCCTAGTTATCATTTTCTGATATATTGAGTGTGTATCCAGATATTGTAGAGTTATAATTGAAATTTATGTGGCAAAGCTTTTCAGCTTGCATTGACAGCCACAGAAGAGCAACTTTTCACAACCTTTAAAGAGCAGAAGTAATGTATAGCTGTGCTGTTCCAATAGCGATGATCGTTTTTTACTTGTAGCAAACTCATTCACCCCACCCCAGCGCTTTGCAAGAGGTCGTTTCTTATTCTAGGTTTTAAAAAAAAACAATATATGATATGCTAGGAAGTCGGCAAAGTCAAAGAAAAAGGATATACAAAGATCCTACCGATACCTCACAACCACAGCCCCCCTAGACACCACACAAGTGATTATTATTATTTGTAATAATACTGTAATCGTATGTTTACACTCTAACTGTTAAATCTCTCTAGCAATGCTGTGTTTTTTCTTTACTGTGTTGATAGGAAAATCAGTGAATGTGAATGCAGTTATAATGAATAATCCTTGTGGTAAAGGATTTTGTAAACATTTACATCAGACTGGATTTTGTATAACAGTAATTCAGATGCATAATGAATTGCAAGCAATACTGTCGGATCATTGGCCTGCTATATTGTATAAGAAAGTCGTATGCTGCCACCTAGTGTCCAGAAATAATAATGCATAAATTCAGTAACAGTGTTCCAAGTATTTGTGACTCTGTCTTTTATATTTTACCAAAAAATTGGGGTAATAATAAATGTTTTATAACATAATGTAAAAAATAATTTATTTTTTTTCAAAGTTTTCAGTCATTTTTCCTGAATATAGTAAAAAATAAACCCCCCAGTGGTGATTAAATACCACCAAAAGAAAGCTCTATGTGTCTCCAAAAATGGTATAAAATTAATTTCAGTACAGCGTTGCATGACGGAATAAATGTCAGTCAAAGTACTGCAGCGCTGAATACTGAAAAATGGCCTGGCCAGGAAGGGGGTCTAAACACAGTGGTTAAGGTAAGCAGAACAATCAGTACTTGGTTGCCTCCAGGACTTACAGTATTACTATAGTTGGGAAAAACAGGATGCTGAGAAATGGTAAAACAAATAGTAGTAGTGGTAGAGGGAGGTACAGATGTCTGCAGAGGATGGCTGGGACTGCTGCCTCAGCAGGAACAGAGTAAGTGGAACATGCAGAAAGGGGAATACAGGCAGCAGGCAAATATTTGGTCAGCACATAAGCAAATGGTCAGTACACAGAAGATCAGATACTGCTGACAGGAAGAGGTCAACAAACAGGTAAAGGGTCGCTACAAGCGGCAGGCAGAAACATGGTCAGAAAACAGGCAAGGGTGCACAGAAGATCAGGTACAATCTATGGCAGGTATGGCAGGCACGTATGAAAACCTATAACAAGCATGGGTGGCAAAGTGAGTGAGGTTTAAATGAGGCACCTTGGGAAGGAAAAAACAATCAAGGCTGAAGGGAGGAATAGGGTCAGGGCATTGCCTGGTAACACAATACTGCCCGAATGCAGGAGCCCGTGACCAGTGGGGAGACAGGAAGAGGAACTTGAGGTGAGACCCAGTGCCAGAGCGCCGGAATAGAACGGGAGAAGAGCTGGTAATGTAGGCAGGCCAGCAAAGGTTGCAGGAGTTGGTAATGGTTGCAGGCAGGCAGAGGTTGCAGGAGCTTGTAATGCTGGCAGTTGCAGGCCAGGAAAGTTGGCAGGAGTTGGTATTTAGGCAGGCTGGCAGTGGCCACAGAAGCTGGTAATGGTGGTAGTAGCTGGAAATGGCAGCAGCAGTAGATCGGATCTGGTAATGATGGTAGTAGCTGGTAATGGTGGCAGCAGTAGACAGGAGCTGGCAGTCCAGCAGATGTGGCAAAACCTGGTAATGGTGGCAATGCAGGAATACATAAAACCCCGAAATAAATAAAACCCTAATAATATAGTACTTTTTAAACATAAAACATTTTTTTTAAAAGAGAAGCCTTGCAGCAAAAAAAAATGCTATTGAGGGATAATCAAGTGACCACTTACCTCAAATCAACTAAAATAAAGCATTTTAAAAAGCCAATAAAAAAAGTGAGGAAGGGGTTAACTTCCCAAAGACCTAGCAGTCAGAATAAACTTCCAGTTTTCTTCCAAACTGACCTTGAATATCTCCCTATGCAGTTTAAAAAGCTTTCACTATCCTTTCCTACTACAGTTTCCAGTACACTTAAACTAGTTCCACAAAGTGAAAATTCACTTTGCGAAGAACAACCAATCAAGTACAAGGAAAATATAATAAAAAAACAGTAGAGTATTTTTGATTGAGTGATGGAAGTCAGCAAAACTTCAGATAATTCATATCATCATTCATGTAAGCCTATTTGTCTTTAATGAATCAACCCCCATCCTTCATCAAGTATGCATGAGCTCATTATGTTTATTTGATCATAACAACTGGAATTAAAATATAAAACAGTTTAATGACTGATTCTTGGATTTATTTAAGATCATTGATAAATATGTTCATTGCGGTGTTTCTCAATTATTTTTTGCTGAGCCTGACAAGCAGGAAATACAAGCTCTAATTTGTGGAATTCACATTTACTGGAATGCATATTTGTGTACCAGACCAAATAGTAAGTAACTGAGATTAACTGAAATAAAGGAATATAAAGCTGGCAACCAAATATAATGTGCAGATTGGGACCCTAGTTATCATTTTCTGATATATTGAGTGTGTATCCAGATATTGTAGAGTTATAATTGAAATTTATGTGGCAAAGCTTTTCAGCTTGCATTGACAGCCACAGAAGAGCAACTTTTCACAACCTTTAAAGAGCAGAAGTAATGTATAGCTGTGCTGTTCCAATAGCGATGATCGTTTTTTACTTGTAGCAAACTCATTCACCCCACCCCAGCGCTTTGCAAGAGGTCGTTTCTTATTCTAGGTTTTAAAAAAAAACAATATATGATATGCTAGGAAGTCGGCAAAGTCAAAGAAAAAGGATATACAAAGATCCTACCGATACCTCACAACCACAGCCCCCCTAGACACCACACAAGTGATTATTATTATTTGTAATAATACTGTAATCGTATGTTTACACTCTAACTGTTAAATCTCTCTAGCAATGCTGTGTTTTTTCTTTACTGTGTTGATAGGAAAATCAGTGAATGTGAATGCAGTTATAATGAATAATCCTTGTGGTAAAGGATTTTGTAAACATTTACATCAGACTGGATTTTGTATAACAGTAATTCAGATGCATAATGAATTGCAAGCAATACTGTCGGATCATTGGCCTGCTATATTGTATAAGAAAGTCGTATGCTGCCACCTAGTGTCCAGAAATAATAATGCATAAATTCAGTAACAGTGTTTTTCAGTGTTACAAGTATTATAATTGTTATTATTATTATTATTATTATTATTATTATTGTTACTGTGCTGATGTAACTAATGGATTGCATAATGTCATCTTTATTTAGTTGCTGACACAGGCTGCTGAATGGAAAGTACAAACCAAAATGCTGAAAGATCAAGAGACTCTCCTGAAAACCCAGGTAAAATGTGTGTTTCATTCTCAGTATAGATAGTGATATCTTATGTCAAGGTATCTACATTGACATTTACATCAGACTCCACAATGGTTATAGGTCTTATCCAAGAACTTTAGGCCTAGCTGCTGAAGATTACAACATATATATATAAAAGGCACATGGGTGACCCAGTCCTTAAGGGAAAAGTCCGTTTTGGGTAGACAATCATCAAACCCTAATTTCAGGCAAAACATTTTTTCATCTTTAACCACTCGCTGATCAGGTGTTTAGACCCCCTTCCTGGCCAGGCCATTTTTCAGTATTCAGCGCTGAGGTACTTTGACTGACATTTATTCTGTCATGCAACGCTGTACTGAAATTCATTTTATACCATTATGTGGGGACACATAGAGCTTACTTTTGGTGGTATTTAATCACCACTGGGGTTTTTATTTTTTACTATATTAAGGAAAAATGACTGAAAATTTTGACAATAATTTTTTTTTTACATTATGTTATAATACAATTATTATTACCCAATTTTTTTTTTTAAATATAAAAGACGGGGTCACGTCGGGTAAATAGACACCAAACATGTCAAGCTTTAAAATTGCGCGCGAAATCGCAAAAAAAACTACCATACCCAAAATTGACCATAGTTACATAGTATTTGAGGTTGAATAAAGACATTAGTCCATCAAGTCCAACCTATTAGGATCTCATTCTAGGAGTACCTGTACCCCTGTATATTACGGTCCCTTAAGAAATCGTCCAAAAGTTTCTTGAACAATTCCACATTATGATCTTACTGTGAAGAACCCCCTTCGCCCCTTGTGCTGGAATTTTTTTTCCACCAATTAGGCGACGCTTTAAAAGCTTTTACCGCTCATCAGTTTAGTGTTACCAGTGATCGATGGCCACAGCGGAGCCCGGGACCAGCGTGACACCGGGAGGGGGGCCGCCGACCGGGGGCACGAACCGGCAGCTTATACAAGCGATCCACCGGCTCTATAGCCGGCAGATCGCTTGTATGTTAACAGGCATCGCTGCCTTATTTCCTGCTCGCGCGAGTGGGCGGGGCTGACAGGCCGTATATACACGGCCAGTTAAATCCAGGAAGCTCCCGGCCGGCCCTTTTTTTTACAACGGCCGGCCGGGAGGTGGTTAAACAAAGTGAGTAAGGTGTGTCCCTATAGGAGGAAATTTTCTTCAAGTCAGGTCAGGATGAGAAGTCAGGTGTGGACACATATTGCAAGAACACACTTTGTTCAGAATAATGGGGACGGGTTAGAACATCTAGCAGGGTACAGATACTGTCTGTGTTTTCCTGTCCCAGTGATAAGTGTTCCCTCATTTCTTATTTTGTATTCACAGGGACAGGGAGTGTGGTGAAATCTCCCCAACAGAGTCACAGACAATATAGTAAACATTTACTTTTCTCAATTCTATTTTAAATTTAAAAAAAACAAAAAAACTTTTGTCATTAGGTACCAAACCAGAAGAAGCTAGACCTTACTATGTGAAATGCTGGGATTTACTGGCTATAAATCCACCAGGACAATAAAAAGAAGGTGGCAGGATGAAAATGTGGGTGCTGCTACTGTTGAATTATTTTTAAAGGCACATGCAGGGCTGGTTTCCCGGCCTAGTAAGATAATGACCGAGAACATTTCAGAGTACTGACACCTGATATTTACATGCTTGTTCTAGGTCAGCAGCTTACAGTGTAATTAAGGAAGGATAAGAATGACAGAGCATACATGATTCAGAAGTGGCAGCTCTCACACTTGTATCCTGAGTTTAGGAGTTAAGTGAATACATATTTAAAACAATATTTTGTATAGCACAGAATAGAAGACTCTTCCAAGAATTTACATCAGTCTACATTCATCATTTTTATCAAGGGTTGATGAGTTAAGGTGGATCGAAATATAAGTACAGAGGTGTGGCTTTATTAGTTTTCTTTTTTCAGGCTTTTTCCTTTTATTTTCTCCTACTGACCTTGCCTGTCACACTTCATGCCCTAGCATGACAACACTCACTCATTGGGGGAGGTTATCAAAACTGAAGCAGACGGAATCTGGAGCAGTTGCCCACAGCAACCATACAGCTTCTATCTTCGGTTTATTCTGTTAAGCTTTAAAAAAGGAAAGATAGACTTTGATTGGCTGCCATGGTCAACTGCTCCAGATTTTCTCTTCTCCAGATTTGATAAATCTACCTCACTGTTCTGTAGCTGTGCAGGATTAGAATTGTCATCCGAGGCTGCTCCACTGATTTGGACTGCAAAACACCACACCCAGTCTCCTCATCTCCATAACATGGAAGGTCAACTGGAAAGCGCTGTTAAGACTGATTGAGATTTCAGTGCAGCAGAGACACAAGAAGTTTAAGTGACAATAAACTCAGGAGCAAAATCTTAAAATGCATTCAAGCACCTTAAAGGAGAACTATGAGGTGAGTGCTTTTCACTCAGCTCATAGTTCTAGCCGACCTGTGACAATGAGACTGTCACAGGTCGGCTCAGTAGATCGGGAGGTGAGCGAACACATACCGGCGTTCGCTCACCTCTCGATCCTGTCACGGCTCTCTGCCGTGACAGGGGAGGGTCTGGATTCTCCCCTCCCCGCTCCTTTAGATAGGCAGAGCCAGCTGTCAGTCACGCAGCTGGGCGGATCCCGGTACAATTGTCGGTATCCGCTTCAGCTGCGGCGTCTCAGTATACCGCGAGCAGTAGCTCGCGGTATACTGTGGCGTCTCAGTATACCGCGAGCCACAGCTCGCGGAGTACTGAGCCTAGGGTGACGGGAGGACGCTAGTTTGTGTCCTCCCGTTACCCTAAGGAGAACTATGGGGAAAAGCCTGAAAACTGTCCTTGGTGCTGAAACTGTCCTTCCTTCTGGAGGGTGACTACTTTTGTTCCCCATGGCTCCTGTGTGTGTTGTTGTAAAGTAGCCACTACTCCAAGCTTGCTCCTGTAATGGACTACAATCTCAGTACCAATTGGTAAACTAAACACCAGATTGTAGTCCATCATGGGAGTAAGCTTGGAGCGGTGGCTACTTTAAAACAAAAGTAGCCACCCTCCAGAAGGAAGGGCAGTGTCAGCATGAATTCAGAGATGATTTGAGGATCTACAGCCGAGTGATACACAAATAAGGTCCAGTTTTGTTAATAGTTAAGGTACTTGAATACATTTTTTAAGATTTAACTCCTGAGTTTAGTGTCACTTTAAGAGCACACTGAGCATCTGGTAGGATCAAAAGGTATTAATTTGCACCTATCAACATATATAACAAAATACTTTCACTGGTATATTTGACAGACCAAAAGAGAGCAAATAAGAGAAGTTCATTGTTTGGGTTTATATACACTGCTGCACTGTTATTTTTCCATTTAACTATGGTATGTGTTTTCTCACATTTAAATGTTTATTATACCTAATTAGCATGGAAAGGGCACAAATAGTGAAATAGTTTATATGTACTTTGACTTTTCTAGGTACATACTCCAATACAATACAATACAATACAATACAAGCATCACTCATTGAGAATAATTCAGGATTGTAGGATGAAAGATCCATCACTAAGTTAGCTTAGTAGAAACCATCAATTAATATGGAAAATTAAGGGAATGGAGGTGACTCTGCAGAACATTATACATCATCCATGTGTGTTTTCAAATTGTTGGCCGATAATTGAGGAATCATGCTCTAGTAATTCTCATAGTGAGGCAAATTACTCTTCTGGGCAGAGATAATTTATTGCATGTATTCATTTCTTTCCAGTGATATATGTTGAATTTCATTCATTCATTACTTTTTCCTACAGGTTAAAATAAATATAATTACAACTGTATAATTGTAAAAAAAAAAAAAATTGCTTTATTATGGAGCTGTCCAGATTCTTTGTATTAATTAGCAGGTGTATTTAAAATATGAGTAATAAAAGCAAACCTTTATAATAATATATAAAAAAAACTTACATCTTCATAATATGAATTGAGTTTCTTGCAGATAAGCCTGGGACTTTTGAAAACCAGGATACTCCTATATGCAGGCAGTCACCACGTCCCATGGTCACAGGTTCTGGTCAACCTATTTCCTCATGTCCCTTTCTAGTTGCCCATTACTACAATGGGCAGCCTTGCTAACTATTAGTGAGGTGGCAAGAGGTAGGGGAGCTTGGGTTTGAAATTTTAAACCGCGTTCATATACCGAGAGAACCACATCACACTAAGGCAATGCCCCTGCATTGTAGCTCGCAATTGCATTAGAAAAAAAAGGGCATTGCCACAATGCACGTGAACACGCAGCATGACGTGCGTTAACACACTGCGAAAATATATTGGCATTAGATAGCTTATATGTACAAAATAGCTTTTAAATGTCTTTTTTTTGTAGGGAAATATATTTTCTTGAAATTTCCAAGGCAGGAAACTGTACAGAAAGATATTTGTCCTGCTATACATACAGTAACCCCCATATGTTATATTGATTACTATCAGTAACACATTATCGTGTATGATAAAAAAAAATCCAGTCTGCCAGCATGCTGCCAGTACAATCTATTCATGTTTTGTTGTGGGAATGGTGTGCTTATACTTCATATTTTCTAGATCTGTATACCTAGAAAACTATATACTGTATATTTCCTGTCTACATGAGCTATGTTCGACCAGTGAGGCTGTACAAAGCACTATCCTGTGGGCATATCTCCCAACCGTTCCTCATTAGGAGGGACTGTTCCTCTTTTGGAACCAAATCCCTCTGTCCCTCTTTCCCCCTCAGTTTTCCCTCTTTTGGTCAGATGTGTCGGACTGATTGTCGGCAACAATGAGACGGCCTATTTGGAGGAGATTAGGAATCTGGAGAATTGGTGCCAGAGGAACAACCTCCTCCTCAATGTCAGCAAGACAAAGGAGTTGATAGTGGACTTCTGTAAAAAGCGGAGAGAGAAAAAATACCAGACCCCCATGATCAATGGAAGCCCAGTGGAGAGAGTGGATAGTTTCCGATACCTCGGTGTACATATTACGCAGGACTTGTCTTAGACGCTTGAGGGACTTCAGACTGCCCGCTAGGGTGCTTAGAAATTTTTATTCCTGCACCATAGAGAGCATCCTGATGGGAAACACCACTACCTGGTTTGGGAACAGCACCGTGCAGGACAGACGAGCTCTTCATAGGGTGGTGCGAGCAGCTGAGATAAGTATTCTCACATTACTGCACATCCGCACTTTAAAAGAAAATGGTCAAGTAAAGGTCAATACACTGCTGGTCATCACTTGAATTCATTTTACCCCGTATTGCTGCTGTTGGCACTCGCACACTTACATTCCATATTGTATTAGCATTTTTTAGTTAAGTTTAAATTTTTATATTTACATTTAACACTATATTTATTTTGCAATGTAAAAAGTTTTATTTAAAATGTATTCTTTCTTTCTTCTTTTTGCAGTCGTGTAAGCATTTCACTGCATATCATACTTGTACGATTGTGTATGTGACAAATAAAACTATCTATCTATCTATCTATCTATCTATGTACAGATATCTATGAAAGTGTACTTTTCAACTACCACAAGTATTATTAAAACCTTCATCCAATCTCCTAATTATCTAATTTACTATTTTGAAAAGTAAAAAAAAACATTTTTGGTTTGACTAATCATTTTTGGCATATAAATTCTTAATGGTCCACGTAACTGTGGGCATGGCAGGAGTGTGTCTATTACCTAAATACATTGTGCTGGAAGGTGTCCCTCTTTCTCATTTCAGAAAGATGGGAGGCACTGTATGCCATTCAGTAAATGACATATACTGCAGACATGCTTTTGCTTTTTACTGGCTTCCTCACACTGCCCACTTTGTTAAAACTGCCTCATATGAACTGTGGGACAGTTCAGTAGAAGCTTCTTTCAAAACTTACTTCCCTTCTGCAGTACGAAGCACTAGTCACACAACATATCTTGCCAGTCTTGGGTTATATATTTCTCTAAGCTGTTTTGTGCCTTCCTACCCCACTAAAATAGCTAGTTTTAGACTTACACTAACAAAATCAGATATCATAAGGCACACAAAGCATGGGGGTAGAAAAACTAAAAGAGACCTTGTGCCCACTTTGTATAAGGATGCCTAGAACAGATGACTAGAAGAATAAATAATATTGCCTCCCTTCCAGCTGAACTGTATTAAGTGTATATTCATTTGTCCAATTCTTCACTATTTATCTATACGTTAGGCGTATAGTTTTTTTTATCATTGTTTGTTCAATTTAAAATGTTAAATTGTAATCCTCTTTAATAAAATCCTGTTTCTTCTGTTACCCGTAGCATGTGGATAATATATTATCCAAAAATTATAATTGTTTCCTCAATTGCCCCAGAACAGTCGTAGAACATAATTACTTTTTCCCTCTTGTAATACTTGTGAGTGTAATCACTTATTTCTGTTTCTGCATAGTTTATGTATTCAGTTCTGGAAGCATTGGCACTTGTGATGACAGTCTTGAAGGAAATCGTTAATTATAATTTGTGAACAGCATATGGGTTCATTAGAAATGCTAAACAGAGGAAATCTTACTGTGGTTTGACAAGAAGGTGTTATGACTCATAAAAGATGTTAGATACTTTGAACATTTTGAGTTTGCCTCCATTGATTCATCATATTAATTGAATTTTGACAAATACCATTTAGTTTGTACAAATTCATCTTTCTTTGAATATTAATTATTCCCACTTTTTTTTCTACTGACAGATTGCGCTATACTCTGAGAGATTTGATGAATTTCAGAGTTCCCTGACTAAAAGCAATGAAATTTTCACAAGTTTCAAAAAAGAAATGGAAAAGGTAATTTGTATTCTTTATTGCAGCATATTGGATCAAAATGATCATGCCCTGGTTCCAAATATTTAGAACAGTATAAAGGAAAAAAGTTGAAAGCAATAAATCCTAACTTCTCTTTGTCATGTTGTTATAACCTCTTTCTGTGTAGCATACACATAGCACTAAGGGAGTCTCAAATTAGTGAGACATATTACTTCACAATTCACTGGCTATACACAGGGCCGGATTTCCCACAAGGCCACCGAGGCCCGGTCTTGGGGCAGCAGGGGTGTGGAATTCCTATTGTCCGACACCCGGGACATGCCGTTCCGGGCACCGGGCGGGTAGTTTTTTTCTACATTTAGCCCTGCTTTGGGAAAAGATGGCTAAAATAAAAAGTTATAAAAAGTATAAGATAATAAAATAAATAACAATTAAAAAAGAAAACAAATAATAAATAAAAAATTAAAACCAACCCTGCCACCCCCGCCATCTGGTTGTCATTCTCCATTAGGGGGGTTGGCGGGGAGGGGGGCGCATTGAGGAACCTGGCCTTGGGGCAGCAGAGAGAGTAAAGCCGTCCCTGGCTATACATTTACATCTCAAGGTGAACAAGGCCAGTAGACCAGCCTCAAATGCATACAGTATGGGCCAAGGGGTGCAATCTCAAAGTTTGTATAATGCTAATGTGGTGATAAAATCCCTCTATCTAGGCAGAGAAGGGTAAGAAGAGGCAGGTCACAGTGCTGATTCTGCGCACCTGTCTTTAGTGGAAATCTGGAGTAGTTACCCATGGCAACCAATCAGCTTCTCTCTTCAGTTTGTTCAGTTAAGATTTGAAAATGAAACACAGAAGCTGATTGGTTGCCGTGCACAGCTGCGCCAGATTTTTTCTGCTCCAGTTTTGATAAACCCCCCTCATTATGTTTATTTGATAATATGTTTACAGCTCGAATACAATATAGAACTGTATAACAACTGTATTTATGTTAGAATACACATTACTGTGTTTATAGCAATAACTCATGCAGTATACATTTTCGGTCACTAGATGGCAGTGTTTATAAGTTCTGCTATATCTGTGATAGACTCTCTGTTGTATTGAGTAAGGTAGAGAATAAAGCTGTGGCTTCCTTCCTGTGTTTTTCAAGCCATGTGCAGCATGCATATCAGATTGTATGCTTGTGTTTCTCTGTGAGGCTATGCAAGAAGTTCCAACAATTTATTTATAAGATTAGCCTATACTCCTTTAGTCAATCAAGCCTGGTGTGTTAATGTTTATGGCCTTCATGCTGACTGGCTGTATTTTGAATAACATGTTACATTTTTAGTAACTTGCAAGTATTCTGTTTACTAAATACATTTCATATGAGAAAACATATAAGCTAGATTTCACCTACTCTTTCCCCTCCAAAGATGCTCCCAATTTAACATTGGGGTGGAGTTTGAGTGGTCATAAAATTCTGAAAGCCAAACCATAGCTATCAGTAGGTCCCAGCAAAAAAAAAAATACTCTGATACTCCAAGTTGGGTATTTTGCATGTGGCTAACAACCCTATCTGATTAAAATGTATTCTCAGTGCCACTTCATAAGGACCCCTGCTTGGCCCTCCTATATCTCAAACCCTTGATTCTCACTAGAAATCAACACCGCCTAGCCACACATGTACTGCTGGCAGCTAAAAAGGGTATCGCCTCTGCTTGGAAAAAACAATTTGTGTAATTTGATAAAGTCAAACGGCGGGTGGATTTCTTTTTGAACGAAAAATTGACAAGTATTCTTCTGGATTACAATAAAAAATTTACAACAATCTGGCAGCCATGGATCGACTATGCACATCCCTCTCTGTCCCCAGACAGTCTATCATCCCCCTAGGTTCTGGGCTTACTTTCTGATAACTGGAGGACCTTGGTGCCATCTTCTCTATCCTCTTAATCCTCTTTTTTTCCCAGTCTTTCTGGATCTCTCCTTCTCATTTTCTTCTCTGTGTCCTTTTGATTTCTGCTTCTAATCAAACTTCAGAAGTGTTTAAAAAAAAAAAAGATCTTCTTGATTTATTAAGATTAACAATACAATTGTATACTCGTTTATTCTTTTTGATTGTATACTGCATTATTTTTGTACTACATATTGCACAATGTATGTTTCTAAAATATTTAAATATAAAACAAAGAAATATTGTTGTAAGGCCTAAGTCAGGAAACCAAGACCCTTTATGAACTGTAATGAAGTAAATATTTAAGCATGGAATGGGCTTATTACTACTCAAAGGCTTGTTACTACTCATAGTAGTAATATGTTTTTTTTCCAGGAAAAGCTGGAAACAACAAATAAATCCCACTTAACCTGTCACTCACCTTGTCAATTCAGAAAGAACATAGCAAAATACATATTTGCAGAGGCAGCCTTTAGTGAAACCATGTCAAAATGATCTATGTATCCTGAGATATAGGGGTAGAGTTAAATTAATGTAGTAGAGCACGGTTACTTTACAAGGGAATTTTCACTTAGTTTAGTGAATGTGAGGAAGGGCTGCTGACTTTCATCATTCAATTATGTGCAAGCAAAAATATTGTTTTTTTCCCATTTTCCTTTCATGTAATTGAGTATTCTTTGCAAAGTTAATTTTTGACCATATTAACTAAGCTAAAGCAAAATTCCCTTGCAAAGTAAACTCCTTTAGAAAATACACCCCATATAGCTGAATTTAAAGTGTATGCAAATCTCAGATTTTTCTTGTAAGAACTGAGCTTGGCCCTACGTTTGTCGGTGAGGCTCATCATCACATTAAAGTATATTAAAGAGGTTCATAACGCAGAAAGTTTCATCCTGCCCACAAAAAATGCGAGGCAGTGCGTTCTGGCCAAAATCGAGCCGGAACGCACTGCATCTGGTGTGAACGAGCCCTCAAACAGGATATCAAGACCAGTGATTCTGCAGGAGGCCAAAATGTTTAAACAAGGAGCAGCATCCATTGTAAGTGATTTAATCAGCATTTGAAAATGCTTAAAAACCTTCTGACTTTAACACATGTCATTTTAAGGCTCTCTTACTGCTTGTTAAGAATATGTTAATACTTAAACATCCATATTCTGGACACATGTGCACGTTAACCTGAATAATGAAAGTATATTATTATTGTTATTATTATTACTATATGGAGGGGAAGTTGGTTGTAGGATGAATAGCACCTCCTTTTCTTCTGGGAAGATCCACACACCAAACCTTGGTGCTTCTGGACAGTATGTCCAAGCAGCACTGTTATTGCTATTCGCGGTTCCATAACTATACTCGGGTGCTACCTGAGGAGGGAGAGAAGACATTCTGCACTATACCATGTCCTTTCCTAGAATCCACGGTGACATTGTGGATAACTAGTTACTCCACAGGCTCTAAGGATTGTTGTATCTTCTTGCTTTTTATGAAAAGTAATAAAAAGCTATGCGTTTTCATTTTTCCTCTCCTGAGGTAATTATATGATATTGTATCCTATGGAAAGCAGAGAAAGATCAATGGAGACCAATAATCCTGTAGCAAGGAGAGAGGACTATTAGTTACTTATTAGAACTTTTAACCCAAGTGTGTCCTCCGTGGATCTTATCACTATACTGCTGATCATTTATTTTAGTCAAAATCTGCTTTTTCCTTAGCTCAGCCAGTAAATCAGGCTGTAAACCATACAATGAACATTTTTATTAAAATAGAAGAATAAACAAGTTTAATGAATGTAATTGTCTTACACCGTTATATATTAGAAGCATAAAGCTGCAACATATGTGAAAAGAACACCTTGTAACACATTGCATATTAAAAGTTTATGTAGCAATTTATATGTTTCAAAACAAAGGCATCATTTTTATTTCAGGATAAATCTCCTCAACTCACTCAGTTTTGACAGTATTGTTAAATATTTATGTTGTAATACATTTTCTCTTTGAACAGCATACATAAAAGTAATTACCTTTGTCAAAATACAATGATCAGTTCAGCAATGTGACTGTTTTCTGTAACACCTTGTTCATTTTATTTTTTGTAGTATGCACTCATTTGTTTTTATGATTATGTGCTAACTGGAACTTGGTTTGTGAATTTGTCAGATGACAAAGAAAATGAAGAAACTGGAAAAGGATACGAACACCTGGAAAACACGGTTTGAGAATTGCAATAAAGCTCTGCTGGACATGATTGAAGAGGTGAGAAATGTTACATGAAGTAATCGCTGGCCAACAGAGCTATAGATAATTTTTTTCTTTTCCTAAGGAGAAACATTCTGACCATTTCCAATTTTCACTAGTCTTTATAGCAAACATTTTATGACCCCATACATTTTGCAATTAAAACAAAAGGAAAGGTATCCTGTACAAAGCAACAGGTTAAAGTGGACATTAAATAAAAACATGTGAAGATTTGCTATGTTATAGGGAACATCTATATATGTTAATTGCTTGATTGATTAATTGCCTTATTAGGCCACTTGGAAATTAGTATCATATCAGAGTGCATAGCATGCATTCTCAGCGAGCACACCTTGACATACGAGGCAGAAAAACTGCACTGAACTGAATAGTCCAATATACCAGAAGGCAGGAAAGTATTTGGCTTGCTTTGCAAAATGAATGAAATTACTAGATTGTATTTATCAATTAACAACCTACAAAGCGCATAAACATTAAAAAAAACTAAATGTAATCAATATTTGGTGTGTCCACCCTTTGTCTTTAAAAAAATGTACCCTTGCAGTGGGGTGGGTTAAGTGCTTGTTTTGTCTAGGGGGCTCAAATAAAGCAGATATACACACCTGATCCTTGGTCCTGCGCCAGTCAGTGTCCTCACGTCTAATGCAAGTCTATGGACCTACATTAGATATGATGATGTCAATAGTGCTTAGAGCGCTGAAGCCCTGGGAAGATGAGGCTGACCAATCTAGCAGCCCAGTGGGACCAAGGACCAAGGATCAGGTGAGTATATCAGGTTTTTTTAACCCTCATAGACAAAATGAGAACTCAACCCTCACAGCAAGGGCAAGTTTTTTTAAATTCCTAGTTTGTGTTTAATACAGCATCATTTCTTTCAGGTACACTTGCACACAGTTAAGGCTTTTGTAGGAATATGGTACAGTTCATGATTGAACAATAAAAACAAACAGAATTAGCTGTGTTAAGAAGAATAAGACTATGTGAGCGAAAGCCATTCTTTGCTAATGGAATGAGGTCACGAAAGACAGTTCAGTGGGAAATAAATCTTACACAATGGCAAGACTGAGCACAGCAGCAAGACCCATGTTAATCTTACTGTAGCAATAAGGTCTTTCAATGTCTTTCACAGGCCTATATTTTAGGCAAGGTTTTTCCGGATGTGCTGTCCTAGCTCTTCTACAGAAGTACAAAGAAACAAGCAAGGCTAATGACCAAAACCACAGTGGTTGGCCAATAAACTTAATGCAGGAAATGAAAGACACATTATGTTGACTTCTCTTTGCAGTCTAAAGATGTCCAGTGGCACCACCGGCTTAGACTTGGTAGAAACCAGTGGGATCCCAGTACATCAATCTACAGTCTAAAAAAAAAAAAAGTCAGAAGTGGTCTTCATGGAAGACTTGCAGTTAAAAAGCCATACTTTCATCCCTCCTCCTCACCACCAGCACCACAACCCCCCTCTTATGGTAGGATTAGCAGAAGAGGAGTAAGAGGAAAGGATTACATTTCCTGAATAAAAATGGCTGTTTTGAGCTCTTGAGGAGGAGAAGTAGGAGGAAAAGGTTGCTATGCGCCCTTAAAATGAGGAGGAAAATGGCACATTAGCAGCACTCAAAAAGAAAGTGGCCTCTATGTACCCTTAGTTTTGCAATTAAAGTGTTAGTGTAATTTGTTTTTGGTGCAGGCTATCTGGTTAGTGCGCTGGGAATTGTTTTTGTTTGTACTGTGGAAAGTCCTTCCATGTGCGCATTCCATGTACTTGGAAAACTAGTTATAATGTATAATTTGTGCAGTTGCCATATTTGTTTTGCTGGATTTGGTGTGGGGGCACACTAGGGGCTTCAGCTGCCAATGTGATGCAACTGGGCTTCTGGTGAATCCCTGTGCCTTTAAGGAGAAATGGACTGCCTCCTGGTAAACCTGCACTCAATTTGTCTACTGCTATATATGTTCCAATATGGAGGCTCTCATAGATGAGGGTTAGGACCACACTACACAGAGTGGCCTTGACGAGGCAGTGTGGCTTCCACATAATTTGCAAAAGTAGTGCAACTAAAACCTCTGTTTTTAATGCAAAGTGTTAGACAGGGTGATATGTTTTAGTTGCAGGTTAGCTGGTAATTGTGCTGGGAAATCTTTGTATTTGCCTTGAGCAATGAGGAAGACATGCTTTTTATTGTCAAATTGTCTAATTGAAGTGCTGATTCCACCAAGCTCTGTGGTGCAGAGTCATGTGTTTCCTCATGTAATTGTTAGCCAAATGGCTGTTACTTTTACCACAACCGATATCCTGCGGGCAGAGCCCGCGGACCTCAGTGGTGCAGTTGGCAGCAGATATGTTCAAAAAGGCCTACACTGCAGAGCTCTTTCTAGTTGCTACCTTTTCAAGTGCTCATGTACGCTGGCCAATATCTACCAAAAACTTAACTGAAGTCTATTTCTTAAATATTTTAGGATTACATGTCGATATGGGGATGGGGTTTGAGAAATGTGGGGTTGTGGTTTAAAAAAAAAAATGTTTTACTTTGTTTTGACATTTTATAAACCTTTTAAGACAATGCAGTATTGTACTGTGAAGAAAGAAGTTCACAAACAATACTATGAAACTGTTTTTCAGAATAAATGTTCCTATAGCTTTTGGATCCATTGTGACTCCTACTTCCAACTGTCCAATTCAGGCCTATTACTGCTAGATAAAAAAAATCATGTGTCAAAGCCAAAACTACTTTAAAAAAATTTAATGAATGTGATTGGTGTGCTGCGGCTTTTTATAAAGAGGACTCCCCACACACGCTTTCAATACACCACCAGCACTGATGAAATGTGTGTAAAAGCAAAACTATGTACAATTGTACATAGGAGAATTGATGCTGTTTTAAAAGCAACAAGTGGAAACACCAAATATTAAATTGATTTAGTTTTTTTATCTTGTAGGCTATTTGTAGGCTAACTGATTAATAAATACTTTTCATTGCAATACTTTTGAAGGCATTCTGACATTCCAAAATTCTTCACAAACACCTCAAACTTTTGCAGAGTACTGTATATTAGATGTCCTATAATGGTCTACAATACATGTGCTTTGAAAAGAATAGATTTCATCTGCAAAAACTGAAATTTCACTTTGAGTGGCTTATATTGTCTTGTTACTAAGGTCTTTTGGAAATTGATTTTCTACACACCGTTGCAAATTCTTTGTTAAGCTGTTAAAATAATTTGTTCATATTGACCAGTTTTGTGTATTTTGACTTTTTCCCAGACTGCTGTACAAAGTAAGAATAATCTGTCTAGCTTTTACTGGATAGGTTACATTATATGTACTATAATCGTCCCTATATAAGTGCATGGCAAAGACCTAGGGAGGCAGTTTTCTTTTAATAATAGATAAGTTGTATTATTTGCTTACAAAAACTTGTTTATATATCGTGACCTATTTTTTTTATTACAGAAAGCTCTGAAGGCTAAAGAATATGACTGCTTTGTGGTAAAAATTGAGAGGCTGGAAAAGCTTTGTCGAGCACTGCAGGAAGAAAGAATTGAACTGTACAGAAGAATTAAAGAAGCCAAGACACACGATAATGATGAGGTGGAGGAGGACGAAGATGTAGCTGATCGTGAGGACCTTGACACTGCAGCACAAGATGAAAGCTCTACCACAGAGCCTTCTGGAATAGATGAAAAAATCATCAAAGATCTAGAAACTGCTTTTAAGGTGACCCACTGTTTGCAGGAGACCGCAGAAGAAAGCAGTCTGGAATGTCTACAATCAGATGCCAGCAAATTGGCTACTGCAGTTGAACAGCCTGCAGAGTCATTAGAAGGTGCAGCCTGTCCAGAGGTGACAGTACAGAATCCATCAAAGGTTGAATCACAACAAGGTTCAGAGTATAATGACATGGAAGATGTAGACTAGATTTTAAGCGTTGCACAGACACAGAGTCAAAGTCAGACAAACTTTGCAGGCACACAATGTATTTTTTAGCAACTTTCTTTTAAAACAGAGAAGTGAATTGGCTTACAATCATATATGTGGATTTATGTATCTTCACAAAATAGGTATAAAGAGCATTCGAATGGGAATGCCCAAGAAGGAGGTTAGGTTACCATTAGGTCGTAGAATTTCAGGTTGAATAGTCCTGCTTAGTTCCTAAAAAATCTTCCTTATGCTGAAATTACTCATCTTTGAAATACATCTTTAGGCAAACATCCTACCCCTGTAACGGCTTCTATGCCAATATTTTTTAAAGTTTTTTTACCTCTTCCAAACAGTTGAGGTAAGAGATAACATCATCACAAGGGCTGCAGTGCTCTTTAGACAACTGGAGCTGGGAGGAGGAAATAAAGAGGGCACCCTGCTTCACTGCCATTAGATGCAAGATGCCCCGTAGGACTACTTATGCAAACACACTCGCTTTTTTCCCCATGGGATGTGAACAGCTCTATGCTGTCAATCACAATTCCTGGAGGTGGATAAAAAAGAGAAACAATTCCTTGCAGGGCTCAGAAGTAACGTGTTGCTAACCAGAAATTTAGCAGCTACAGTCTTAAAAAACAGACACCCCCATCATGTCCCTAAAGTATTACATTGCCATGTACTGTATTAGTCTGTTGCGCTCACCCAAGTAGAAGTGCTGGGAGTCAGAAAACAAATGAATACCAAGTATATGATGAGCTGATACTCATAACAGCAGTGTTGCTACAGTAGGTAAATTGGAGCCAGGCATGGCTAGCATTGACTGGCAGAGAGTAGCAGGGTTGTCAGCTATGATAATGGGAATAACCCTACTCTTTAATGTGTGAATATGCAATGCCTGAAGAGGACAATGCTATATTGATTTCACTACAGGTGGATAAGTGTTGTCACCCTGTTTAAAGAAGGCCTGATCAGTGGAGGGATCATCAGTTATATATATCATATTAGAGGCATTAAAATAGAAGATAAACTATGCAGGATTCTGGGTTTTAAATAGATGTTCAAATTGATTTATATCTATTATCCTTTAGTTCTTCTTTAAAGAGCAACCCAAGCAAAAACAGGGAAGTTGTTTCCCCCATCCCTAGCAGTGTCGTGATGGGCCAAGGTATTGCTGAGCTACTTCTTATCACAAGTCTGTGCATTCTCCATTTACTCTTTGAGACCATCCACTGAAGATCTCCTGGCCAAAAATAATATGTGTAGCTGCTCTTTAACCAAAGAATACCATAAAGTATTGTAGAAATAAATAATAATAATAATTTTAAAAAAACTTCTAAGAAGACCTGTTTAAGAAACACCTTCTGGGTTTTCCAGAAAAAGTACAATGCTTTCCCTACCCACCCTTTCCCCCTATTCAGAAATGTGGGTTTGAAAGTTACTGTGCATACACAATATATGGCCAAATCTTTGTGAACAGCTAAATTAACTAGTTGGACATCCCATTTTTGAGCATTAATGTGGAGTTGCCCCCTAGCTTTTGTAGCTATAATAGCCTCTACTCTTCTGGGAAAGCTTTTCACATGATTTGGGGGAGTGTCTCTGGGAATTTGTACCCACACAGCCAAAGGAGCATTTGTAAGGTCGAGTACGGATGTTAGATAAGACCTGGCTCGTAATCTATGTATTGTGGTATTGTGTGGCAATCCCACAGTAACCCAGGACTCTCAGCCAGAGAGACTGAGCCGTTCCAGGAAACAAATTATTTTGCTGGGAAAGAACTGGCTTTGAAGTTCTCTCCAGAAAACCTGGATTTGGCATGGGATCCTGGAACTGCTCAGTCTCTCTGGCTGAGAGTCCTGGGTTACTACAACCCCCAGTTCCACTGTGGGATTGCCACACAATACCACAGTATGTATCTATGTTTATTAGGGTTGTGATTAGGCCTTTGTACAGGAGATTTCATGGCTCTGTGGGTGAGATTAAATGTGCTTGATTTTATGCACCCGTAACAGTGAATGTTCCTACGGAACTCAGTTAGGAGGAGTGTCTCCGCAGTTTAGGTTATATAGTGTATTTGCAAGTGAGGTGAACTTTAGTGAGTAGCAGAAGCAGAAATTGAATAACATCACAGATAGTGAAGCTGAATACTTTACATTTTATTACATTGAACTATAAATGATATGCAACTGCTGTGAATACTACAACAATAGCACATTAAACCTGTACCTCTCTTAAGATAACACATTTACATCACTACATCACTGTGTAAAACCATCGCTATAGAAATTCAAATTGTGTCCACAACCACAAAAGTGGCATGCTTTGTTGGGCCTGCAGCAATTTTTACTTTTTGGCTAATAGGGTAAGACTAGGACCTTGGTCAGCAGCGCAGCAATTTAATTCTACTAGCAGACATGTCAGGCTGTTAGATCTCTAAGTTGGAAAAGAAGATGGGAAATAAACAGGTAGCACAGGAGACATACCTCATAAATTAGAATTTGTAAGGATTTGAATCTCCTGCCAAAGCTTAGAGCTGATAACTGACTGCCTGCCTTCCTGACACTTCTGCTCTGACAGGAGAGAATACAAATGAATTATCAAACATCAAGCAATCCCTGAGAGATAAGCTTGCTCTAGTATAACAATCAAGAATGGAGATTTAGGTTATTACACATGTCCATTGATGACTGGGCTACAGTGCAAGGGTTAGGCGCTCACTCTTCTCTTGGAGCAAAAATAAAGAAGTGATACTCACCTGATCCTCAGTCCGGCCGGAATGACTGTTCTCCCCCTCTGCTCCGGCTGTGCTTTGTCCCTGTAACAGACCTGTGTAAGACATGATGATGTCACATATCCTAAAGGTGCCCATACACCTTAGGACCATCGCAAGACCTTTGTCTTGCGATGGTCGTAAGCTCATTGAAAGCTCGTACGATCTGCCCATCTTGGGGGCGGGCTTCCGATGACCGCAGTGAGGGGCGGGCTTCCGATCACTGCAAACGGGCAGTGTGCGTGTGCGCACACCGGCCTGTTCGGCAGTTATCGAACAAGCAGGCCACTAACCAGCCGAGAATGGTACAATTCTCGGCGAGTTTTCAAGCCTGCTTGTTCAACGGAAGACGTGCGACGGTACAGTAGAAACGGTCGCACGCCTTCCATTCACTGTACGATTCTCGTACGATCGCGGGATTTCCCACGATTCTCGTACGAGAATCGTACAGTGTATGGGCACCTTTAGACTACTGGAACCCAGGGGGAGAGGAGGCTGCAGGGACCGGTCTAGCAGCCAGGTGGGTCAGAGGATCCTGCCCCTTAGACAAAGTGAAAACGTAACCCTTGCAGTGTGGGGGTAGCCCCACTTCAAGTGTTAAGTTTTAAAAATCCTGGATCCACTTCCTTCCACTTTAATTTACTGAAGAGACTGAAAGCCAAATATAATATTGTAGTCAAAACTATTTTTGAGAAGCATCGGTGTTCTTTTACCTTGTTGTCTGCCACATGGCTATGATATAATCATTGTAAACAATAACATACAGAAGGTGTTTTTTTCATGCAAATAACTAACAAATCAAACATAATATTCACAAATAAAAATGTTTTAATTTTTTTTGGGAGTGACTGTTATTATTTGTTATGTTTATAATCTACCTGTAGATGTATTTTGCTTAATGTAAATCATTTTAGCAATGTGAATTAATGTTTGCATTTACATCTTTACATATAATGAGAAAGCCACATACTCAATTAATACATATGCAGGAGGTGCTCTGTGCAATGCTGTTCAATTATTGCTTTTTGTTCCTCTATCCCAAGTCTATCAGTCCACCCATTCCGTTGATATAGTTGATTAATGTTTTTTTCTGCAGTTCCTTGATATGCAGATTGCCACTAAAGGGTTAATCTGCATATGAAATACCTGGTCACAACCGGCCAGCTCGGAAGATAGGGTGAGTATGTTTTTGTTATTTTCAGCCCTAGACCAAAACGAGCAAGGGTTAATTTAAAAAATCACCTGGAGTTGTTCTTTAATTTAGGTAAATTTTACAGTAATTACTGACAGGGCATACTAATGCACAATATATTTTGGTTTCCCTTTAAATTGTCACCCAAATTCAAGACGGGTTTATTTCTAATATTTAAAAATGTAGGTGGAATTTTGGTAAGTGTACACACTATTATTTACATTATATAAATGTGGGTCATGTTATCAGCCATGTCAAGCTGGGGAAAGCAGGCTGCATTTCTTAGATAATAAACTACTACTGTCTTACAGAGGGATAGGCAACATAAGGCTCCCGTGCCAGGGCTGATGCACAATATCATTTTCAGTGGCATCCAGAAGATCATCATGTGACATGCGTGTGTGCTAGAAACTGGCCCACAGAATGACTGGAGGATCCTTTAGTGGGTCCGGTTCCCTACAAATACAGCACTGCTGCCAGAGGCAGAGACAGCTGATTAAGCTGTTAATTACAAAGCATGGCCTGCCCCTCTGTTCCCATGGCCCACAAGCCTCCATAATGTTTTAAAAAGGCCTGTCTGACATTACTAATGTTCAGGTGCCGGCCCTTCTCCCAGTGCCAGCATAGACCTGCCTGCAGCTGCAGATGTTTTCCTCCAAATAGAGTTGCTGCAGCAGGTATAAATTGAAAATGCCTGTGTTTTGTATGGCGCAGGAATTGGGCGTAATGTGAGGTCAGAAGGTGCAGGAATTTTAGCTGATCTGTGGTTTACAGAGCACCATTGTTCACTGGCAAGCTAGTTGCCTAATGCCAGTAAATTGACACTTAATGAGGAAAAGGTTGCAGGCCCCTGATCTAACACAATCTCTCTGTTACATCTGTATCAAACTTTCTTGTATTTAATAGTTAGACTTCACTTTCCCAAAAAAACAGCTCCCCCCTTCGCTAGCCCCCTAACTTCATCTAACCTAGAACCTCCCACTAGGAATAAGATTCTGGTATGCTGCTACCATGGGTAAGCGATTAATTTTGCAC